CGCGCGCCGGGGGGACGCAACCGGCACAACCGGCGGACGCGGGGCGGGCGCAACGCACGAGGGAGAAGCAGCCCCCGAGCTGCTGCCCGCAAAGTCACGTTTTCTACTGCCCTGCCGGGCCAGGGGCTATTTCTAAGCATCTCTGATCTGGCAAAGATGGTGTGCATGGTGAAACAGTAAGATGACTATGGCCATCTGTGCCCTCCAGAAGTCGTCTCCTAGAAGAGTGGCTCAGTACGCGTCACCTACTGCCAGAGCCGCTTCTGGATGTTACTTCCATCCCGCCAAGTTCTTCTGTGTTGCAGCAACTCCCTCTTTGATCAGTCATGATTCTTTTATAGTTAAGCCGGGTATATCAAGGTGAGCTTGCCTCACCCGGCGATTCTCCAAGAGAAACATACGCGCCTCTGTCTCTCGACATCTCCATTCTCTTTGCTCTCTCCCCGGGTGCTGGGAATTGAACCCAAGGCCTCTCTACTACTGAGCTGTGCTACATCTTCAGGCCTCTCGTTGCTTTGAAAATAGGGAAGAATTTTGTTAGGTGCAAGAGAGAAATTTCTGGGTCATCTTTAAGGTTCCCCCCCTTCAACTGAAGTCTTTTGCAGAAGTTGTTGGCGAGATGCGGGTGCTTTGCAACCGAGATTCGGCCCGCTCGGCTGCGCTTTCCGGCAGCTTCCTCCTGAGGGGCCCTCCCGGGTTGAACCGCCAGGTGGCGCTTTCGCGAAGGGAATTCATCTCCCCCACAGTTGCTGCAGTTGCCTAGCGACCGAAACTGGGCGTTCCAAACAATTGGTCCCGGAATCCTCAGCCGTCAAGTGTTGGTGCGGCTGCGCGGGCCTTGCGTCCCAAAAAGAGCGTCTCGCTCGGCATTTAAGCATGCCTCCCACCAGGGACCCTTTCCAGCACCCTACGTTAGATAACGATGACTCCTATTTGGGAAAACCGCGGGCTTCCGAGGTACTATGGTATTATCGCGCTAATTCCCAGAAGGGTCTCCAGCGGACTTCTTTCTGTCGCTGTGACGGGCAGAGATGGTAACATAAAGACTTCTGGTAAAGTTATTGAGTCGGGTACCAGAGAAGTCTGTCTTCCTGTCCTCGTATTCAAGTTTGCTAACGTTTTCCTTTTGTAGTTGTTTTGCTTATTTTTGGTTCTGACGATTGAACATAGGGCCGTATGCATGCTAAGCAGGCGCTGTACCACAGAGCTACATTCCCAGCCCCCCTCCCTTTTCTTTCTTTGTTGTTGTCGTTATTGTTTCGGTGCTGGAGATTGAACCAAGGGCCTTCACAATGAGCTACATCCCCAACCCTTTCTTTATTTATTTATATATTTTGAGACAAAGTTTTGATAAATTGAATTTGTGATCCTCCTGCCTCAGCTTCCCATGTAGCTGGGATTATGGACATGTACTACTGCCCTTGGTTCAGAAATGCTTTTGAACAGAGGGAAGGAGAACTGTAGTTTATTCGAACAAAGGGCTGTTGCAGCTCACAGCACTAATTACTTAACATAATGGGGGTCTAGCCTCCACCAAGCCACTCTTTTCTCTGGAAAGCGGTTCTCCAAAGAGATATGAGTTAGAGAGTAGGTGAAGATCCTCTGAAAGACACCAGCTCGGGCCGGGGATTTAGCTCAGTGGTTCCACTGCCTGGTTCACAAGTGCAAGGACCTGAGTTTGATCCCTGGTACAAAAAAAAGAAAGAAAGAAAAGAAAAGAAAGACACCAGGTCATGCTGTGCACATCTGTCCTCATAGTATTTCTGTCTTCTGGTTAACGCCTCTGTGTGTTTGTATGAGATGATGATTATAGTCTGTGATCTGGAAATTTAGATGATCTATTTTCTGGTGGAAGGATCTGGGATATTTGAAGAGGTGCAAAATAAAGTGAACTAAATGATAAATAAAGTTTAATAACAGTATCAAAGGGCCTCCTCTTACTCGATTTTTTTTTTTTTTGATACCAGGGACCTTGCACTTTTGAGACAAGATTTGTTATTTACCATATGTCAGGCACTCTGATTTACACTGAAGGTATGTAGATAGACTAGCTAGAGCTCCTCTTATCAAGGAATTCTAGTAGAAAAGATCGGCGACGGTAACAGTAACAGTGCTTCCACAATGACAATGGCACAAGTGTGGTGAGAACCAGGAACTCGAAGGAAAGCTTCCCAGAGCAGATGAGTTTCGACTTCCAAATATGAACTCGCTAGGCCAGCGGAGGGACAGTGAGATGTTAGGAGGAAACAGAAATCAGACATTCGAGGAAATGCGAGCAGCAGGCTCAATACATGGAAATGACATGGTCGGGGAGACGGAGGGATTGCATATCCCAAAGAGCTGAGGTGAACTAGAGGCGTGGAGGCGTGGAGTGACTGCAGCTGGAGAAGTGACCTTAGTGGCTGGGTGTGCTTTGCGCTAGGATTTCATTCTAGAGGAATAGAAATCATTGTGGGATTCTAAGCACGAGAGTAAGACAATTAGACGGGTGTTTTAGACAGCACATGCCCCTGGTTGTGATAGCACATACCTGTAATCCCAGCACTCTAGGAGGCTGAGGCAGAGGCCAGACTGCACTAGGCTGAGGAAAGAATGGCAACAGGGGCAAAGGACAAAGTAGAGATAGTGAATGTTGACTCTTGAAGAAGTCTGGTTCAGGGAAAGCTGACAGGGTGGTGTAGACCATGGTAAAGGAATGGGAGAGGAGCTGGGGTCGGTGAAGGGGATGCAGAATGGCACAGGTCGTTGAAGCGGGGACAGCCGGGGGGGGGGCAGGGAGGGCTTCTCTTGAGTAAAAGGGACGCCCTCTCCCTGCGGTGGAAAAGAAGCAGATGTGCAGATGGCACTGAACATTCTCAACTTTCTCAGAGAAAGACAGCCTCATCCTTGTGCTGACAGGAGGATAAAGCAAGGCTCGCGCCTTCTGTCACCCACCCTTCAGGTCTCAGTGACAGTGGAGTGCTGGGTATTATTGTTCAGCTATGGTTTAATCGAGTGGAAACAGAGCACTTGGCCATACTGAGGGGAACGAGGGTTATAACACTGCAAAGGCTGAATGAGAGCCTGCTGGTCGGCTGGGGATTTAGCTCAGTGGTTCCACTAAGCACAAGGTCCCGAGTTCAATCCCCGGTACCAAAAAAAAAAAAAAGAAGAAAGAAAGAAAAGAGAGTCTGCTGGTAGTGGTTGCACTCATTGGAATTTGACCACTGATTCAAGCAAGGTATTTTTTTAATACCATGTGTACCAAGCCAGGTACCCGGCATACAGTGGTGGAAAATACAGCATTTCAAGGAATCAATTGTGTGCTTTCCATATTCATCCTTGTGGGGAGAACTGAATGTCTTAATGGATTTTTTCTGACATTACTTCAACCAACCAATGACCCTTCCTTTGCTTGTTGAAAACTTTTTCTTATCTACGTAGATTTTGCTTCTTGTAGGGCCTTCCTCACTTCCACTCAATACTGTGCAGTCCTCACAAGCCAGCTCTTCACTTTGGTCAGCAGGCATCAGCTACTCCCACAAACTCCTGATCTGTTATTTGCTCTGAGCTCTCCATTAAGCTGCCCACTTTCGATTTTCAGCTAAGGCATTAGAAGTCTCACCTTTTCTTCAAACCCAGGATGTCACACCTGAGTTCATCATTCTCCCCACCTGCTCCCATTCAGGGACTTGTCCTAGTCCGTCCCTTCTCCTATTCCCCTGGCTTATTTCTGTCAGTTCTAAGAAAAACTAGGAGTTCCGCCCCACATCATTCCTCTCTTGTAGATCTCTTTGAGATTAAAAAGAAAAGAAAAGGGAATAAGACATGGATGTCACTGGCCTCCCGCATCAGCAAGGCTTCCTGTCACCAGGTCCTGGATGTGGTTTCTCTTTTGCAGAAATTACCATTCAGGAACCCAACTCACCTCGCTCAGCAGCAGGACCCCTGGAGTCGGCTCAGTTCAGCTCCTACGATCACCTCCATGACTCGGGATGCCTATTTTTCTGATTCCAAGGTACTTGGTGTTGAACACTGTTTCTCTTTACATCCACCCAGGACTCACTAATATCCTTTTTGAAAGACAGGCTGCTCCTGACTGCTTTAGCATCTTTCCTTTTGTCCCTGATCTAAGATCTTACCAAATCTAAACTCCATTTATCAAATCACAAGACTTGGGTTTTGCCCCAGGAAATTATCTGGAGAAAACAATTTCACCAGACATTTCATTCTTTTTATTAAAACAAGAACTGAATATAACCATGAACGAGGTGATGTCAATTGAGTCCATGTTGGGGATAATATTTCTGTTGCCAGTAGGAGCTCACAATGCTTCAGACCTAAAATGGGGGCGATTCTGTATTGATAAGAGTTAAAAACTTATTATGTACAACAATTCAGTGTGTAAGGACTTAATAGATTTCAGGCCCAAAAGAGACTTCACTGGATTTCTAGAGAATGGTAAAGCCCAAGATGACCTGACTGAACTAAAGGCATAGATGATCAAGTTAACGCTGGAGGACTTACTTCCCCTGTAGATTCCAAAGGACGACCTCGACTTCCGCTTAGCAGCCTTGTACAACCACCACACTGGGGCCTTCAAGAACAAAAGTGAGGTATTGTTACACCAGGAGACCATTCAGGATACTCATGAGTAAGTAGTAGTCTCTTCACTCTAAGGAAGCTGCCCTCCAATCACATAGGTGAAATGTCACCTGAAAGTAACAATTATTGGGTCCCTGTTTGTGTAAAGTGTCTGTGTTTTTATATCTATATCAGTAATGTAATTTCTGTATTCTTAGAACAGAAATCCTTCAAGATTGTGAGCCGGGTGTATAGCACATGTCTATAATCCTAGCACTCAGGAGGCTGAGGCAGGAGAATGGCTGTGAGTTCAAGGCCAGTCAGGAGTACATAGTGAGTTCAAGGCCAGCCTGAACTACACAGCAAGACCCTGTCTCAAAAAAAAAAGGAGAAGAAGGCAGGCAGGCAAGATTGAGCCCTGAGGATTTAGCTCAGTGGCACTGTACCTGCCTCACAAGTACAAGGTCCTGAGTCAATCCCTGGTACTAAAAAAGAAAGTCTCCAAGATGATGTTCATCTGTACAAAAAGAAAAAAAAAAAAAACTTTGGTTAATTCCAGAAGGTAAAAAAGGACTTGCATGCTTTACTTCTGGGAGCTCATAAAATTATCTTTCCCTTTTAATCTCTTTCTCTTTTTTCTCTCCCTGCAATGCTGTGATTTGGGGATCAAACCCAGGGCCTTTGCACCGAGCTACATCTGCATCATCCTCCCCTACTTTTTTTTTATTCATGTTTTAATTTTGAAACCAATTCTCACTAAGTTGTTAGTTTGTACGGGGTGGTCTCAAACCTTTGCTCCTACTGCCTTTCTCTTTCTGATTGATTCACTCTCCTTTACATCATCTAGAATCAAGAGTCAGCTCCCTGGAGAGTATTTATCCCTTCCTCCTCCACCCCCCATCACATCACTGGCTCCCATCAGACAATGGATCAACCCTAAGAAGGAGTCCATCCACAGCGTCCAGGGAGCCATAGGTGAGGGTTAGGCCAGGTGGGCGGGCAAGGGTGGTGCCAGGCTTTCTGTATGGACTCAGGAATCTGGGACTTGAGGTTGCTGGCTTGTAGAAAGATCAGGCATTACTGAGGGTCTTGGCATCCTGAAAAATAGAGCCAGGAACTTCATTCAGTTTTGAGCCTCTTATCTGGGTCTTAGGTCTAAGTGACAAACATTTCCAGCAGGGTGGGCAAAGGTCAGCAATCTGGAAAGGGAAGACTTACGCCTACCTCACATCAGTCCTCCAGATGCCACTCTGCTATTACATGAGCCTTTTTCACAGGATTCATAAATGTATGGGTGATGCATGGATTCCAGGAAAGGCAAAGGATCTGAAATTCAAAGCTCCCCCCTTCTTCTCTTTTCTCCAGTGTCCCCTCACACTGCAGCCACCAATGGAGGTTATTCCCGAAAGAATGATGGTGGCTTCTTCTCCACCTAGTGGTGGCAAGCTGCTAGACTAATCAGAGTGGAACACCTTGCTGCCTACCTCTATTAAACATTTGTGCAAGACAGTGCCTGAAGTCTGTTACCCTTAATTGTGAGTTTCCTCTTGACTGCTCTTAAAATATGAAGGGGGAAGGGTGGCTGGGGATGTAGCTCAGTGGCAGCCAAATGCAAGGTCCTGAGTTCAAACCGCGGTACCAGGGAGGAAAATATGAGACAGAAACTTCCCAACCTCTAGAAACTAGTCCCGTTGGGTCTGTTTGCAATTTGGAAGTTCATCTTGCTGAAGAGATAAGGGTTTTAGACAGAACAGCCCAGTTTGTCGCAGAACACAGCATTCACATTTTGGGAACTGAAATCACTCCAACTACACAGGACGGTCCACTTGTCAAATCTTACAAACCTTTATGTCTGGAATTGAGTTAAGTGTAGGGGAAAAAGTGCACACAGCCCATTCTCCTGATGATCTCTATGAGTTTATGGACATTATAATGTCAGCTGCTCCAAGAAGTATTAATACTTATGCAAGGCCACAGTTTACAGATTCCAGACCTCCTGGGTGTAGTCATCTGTGAGTCTTTTCACTGAAGGGTCCATTGCCCTGGTCTTCCAATCCTGGCCATCGCTGTTCAGTCTCTCTGCTACTGTCTCCTTGCCTGGAAGACAGCTCCCTTTTCTCTGTGTCTGTACTGTCAATGCTTATGAACATCAAAAGTCTGGTGCTTGGGTTTGAAGTTACCTAAAAATTGCTGCACTACTGTGACTTCTAAAATTACTCATAGGAAACATCTGTATCATAAAAAAAAGACTGGACAAGAAAATTTTTATAATAAATTCCCATCTCTAAAAAAAATAAATCCCCATCTCTAAATTCAACAATGTATATATATTATCAAGTAATTCAGACTTAAGGGCCTTCGTCTAGGTACTCAAATGTGGGGTCCTTAAACCAAACTGTTATAGTTCCTTTCCCCTGGGACCCTCTAATCTATTCTGACTGTTATCTCCTGGCAATACCAAGTTTGAGTTATCATTATTTTAAACAGCTGAAGGTGGCAGAGCGGTGGCTCATTCACCTCATTCAGGTTATTTCAGATAGTGAACACACACACACACAAAGTAACACTAGCCTGCCATGGTGGTGCATGCCTGTAATTCCAGCATTCTGGGAGGCCGAGGAGGATGAAAGTTTAAGCCCAGCCTGGACATATAGCAATTAAACAAAAATTGCTGGAGATACAGCTCACTCTGAAGGACTCATGTTCATTCCCTAGTAATAAAAAAACAAAATCCTGATGAGGGTACAGCTTATGGTAGAGTGCTTGCATAGCATGCATGGGGCCCTTGGTTCAATCCCTAGCACCAAAATAAAAACAACTTATTGCTATGATGCATATGTTGAAGTTTTAAAAATATGATTCCTACCAAGCATTTAAAGAAAAATACTGCCAGGTGTGATGGTTCACACCTGTAGTCCCAGCACTTGGGAGGCTGAGGCAGGAGGATAACAACTGAAAAAAAAACAGAGAGAGAGAATGTTAAATTATTCCAAAAACCTGAAGAGGAGGAAACTCTTCTAAAGTCATTTTACCAAGCCAGCACTGCCCTGATACCAAAACCAGACAAAGGAGACAACTACAGGCCAACATCTTCAATGAATTTAGATACAAAAATTCTCAACATGCAGGGCATGGTGCCAGTTACACCTGTAATTTCAGCACTTGCCAAGTGCTGAGAGATGAGGATTGCTTTGAGTTCAAAGTGGACTGCATAGTGAGAGCCTGTCTCAAAAAAAGCAAAACATGCTGTGCACAGTGGCTCATTCCTATGATCCCAGCACTCCAGAAGGCTGAGGCAGGATCATAAATTCAAGCCTGGTGTGGGGAATTTAGCAAAACAGTATCTCAAAATTTTTAAAAATTTTAAAAGGGGCTAAGATTTTAGTGTAGCTTGGAAAAGGTCCTGGGTTCAATATGGGGAATTACCTAAAACAAAAAACCAGAAACCTTGAACCAAATAGGTACTAGCAAACTGAATCCAACAGCACATTAAAGAGATTATGCACCATGATCTACTGGGATTAATTCTGGGGATGCAAAAATGATTTAACATACACCAAAAAAAAAGAAAGAAATATGATATACATTAAGATCCAAAATGTAGGGCTGCGGATTTGGCTCAGTGGTTTCACTGCCTGCCTGACAACTGCAAGGGCCCAAGTTCGATCCCCAGTACCAAAAAAAAAAAAGAAGAAAAAAAAAGATCCCAAATGTCCCCCAAAGGCTCATTGTGTTGAAGGCTTGAGCGCTGATGTGCTTCTGAAGGTGACTGGATGATGAATTCTTAGCTCAACCAGCTTAGTAACAAGTGGGGCCCAATGAGATAGAGCAAGTCACTGGGGCACAGGCATGGCTTCGAAAGGTGTACTTTGTTCCCAGCCCCGTCCTCTTTGGCTGTCTCTGTTCCTGTGTGTGTCTGTCTCAGTGAGTCTCTGCTCCCCACATCCACAAGTATCCAGCTTTGTTCCACCACTATGTTCGGCCTCCCTATGTCTAAAAGCAATGGAGCCAGCTGACCATGAACTGAAACCTCTGAAACCATGAATAGAAATAAACCTGCCATTTAAGTCTGCTTGTTTTTTCCAGTACTGGGGATTAAACCCAAGGCCTTTGCTGAGTTTCACCCCCCCCAACACCCCCCCTTTTTCTTTTCTTTTCTTTTTTTGAGACAGGGTCTCACTATGTAGTTGAGACTGACCTGGAACTCACTACATAGCCCAGGCTAGTCTCGAACTCAATGCAATCCTCCTGCCTCAGCCTCCCGAGTGCTGGGATTACAGGCGTGAGCTACCATGCCAGGCTCCCTCTCTTTTTAAACAGGATCTTGTGAAACTTCCTGGGCTGAACTCAAACTCACAATCCCACACTTCAGCCATCCAGAGTGTTGGGATTATAGGCCTGCTCCACCATGCCCAACTCCTAAAGGAGGATAAAAAACATATGACCATCTCAATAGATGCAGAAAAAATATTTGATAAAATTCAGCGTTCCTTCATGCTAAAAGCTCTGAATAAATAACATGTGAAAGGAACATCCTTTGACATGATAAAGACCATATACAATAAGCCTCAATGGGCATCACAGTGAGCAGGGAAAAGCTGAAGCTCTCCCTTTAAGATCTGGAATAAGACAAGGACACTCACTTTCACTTTTAGTCAATATAGTACTGGAAGTCCCAGCTAGAGAAGGCATGCAAAAGAAATAAAGGGCACCCAAACTGGAAAGGACAAGGTAAAAAAAAAAAAAAATCACTGTCTGAGGAGAATGGTCCTACAAGTTGAAAACCTCAAAGACCCTACCAGAAACCTATTTGAATAAACAGGTTCAACAAATAAGCAACACACAAAAATCAGTAGTGTTTCTGAAATCAAGGGGAGGGAGAGAGAGAAGGAAGGAGCAAAAGAGCAGGTAAGCAGGCTGGGGATGTAGATCAGTGTGAAGGCCCTGTGCTTCAAGAACAGATGGGCAAGCCGGGCATGGTGACACATGCCTGTAATCCCAGCACTCAGGAGGCTGAGGCAGGAGGATCACTGTAAGTTCGAGACTAGCCTGGGCTACGTAGTGAGTTCCAGGTCAGTCTCAACTATATAGTGAGACCCTGTCTCAAAAAAAACAAAAAAAAAGAACAGATGGGCAAGCTTTTTTTTTTTTTTTTTTAATAAGCCTGAAAAGTATAGGAAACAAAACCAAAAACAAATGAATAGCATTAAAACAAACTTCTGCACAGTAAATAATACAGTGAAGAGACAAGCTACAGAATGGGAGAAAATATTTGCAAACTATGTGTTAAAAAGGGTTTAATACCCAGAATAAAGAACTCAAGGGCTGGGGATTTAGCTCAGTGGTGCCACTGCCTGCCTCGCAAGCAAGGTCCCGAGTTCAGTCCCCAGTACCACACACACAAAAAGAGATTACTAATTGGATTACATTAAAATAGGGAACCTCTTCTGGAGGGTCCAGTGTAATTACATGAAAGTAGAAAAGCCAGTCAGATGTGTCAGGAGATGGAAGGGAAGAGACATTTGAAGCATGGGAACTATTGACCTACTTACTCTGCTATCACTGAGTAAGCTGGACGAGGGGAGCCATCTGCCAAGGGCTGGGATAACCTAGAAGCTGTGATGGACCCCAAAGAAACAGGGACCTCCATCCTACAATTATATGCAACTGAAATTTGCCAATAACCTGTATGATCTTAGAAGCACATTCACCACCAGAGCCTCCAGAAAGGAAGTGTCCTGACAACATCTTGACTTTAGTGTTATGGGACTCTAAGCATAAACCAGCTAAACTGTGCGGTGCCTCCTTTCAAGCTGGCAGAAACTGATAATAAACTTGAGTGTTTTAAGTTGCATTGTGATAGTTTGTTGCCTCAGCAAGAGAAAACAGCATTGCTGTTTTCATGGTAAAAAAAAAAAAAAAAAAACCTCAAGCAACTCAATAGCAATAAAATAAAAACTGATTAAAAAATGGGAAATAGACATTTCCCAAAAGAAAATGGCTAGCTCAGTGGTGCTGCTGCCTGCTTCACAAGAAGCAAGGTCTCAAGTTCGATTTCTGGTACCAAAAAAGAAAAAGAAAACGGCCATAAAGTATATGAAAGGATGTTCACCATCACTAATCAGTGGGGAAATGCAAATTAAAGAAATGAGGTATTACATCATTCTTCAGAATAGCTATTATAAAAAAGACTAATGACAACAAATGTTGGTGAGGATATGAAGTAAAGAGAATCCTTACACTCCACTGGTGGGAATTATGGCCTGGGGATTTATCTCAGTGGTGATGCTACCTACCTCACACAAGGTCCCAAGTTCGATCCCCGGTATCAGAAAAAAAATTTTAAAAGAATGAAATTAGTATGACCACTATAGAAAATATGGAGGCATCTCAAAAAAATCAAAAATAAAAGTACCATATGACCTAGAAACCCCACTACTAGGTATATATCCAAAGGAAATCAAAATGTGAGAACGTGCAATCTCATATTCATTGCTGCATTATTTACAATAGCCAAGAAATGTAGCCAACACTAAGTGTCTATTAATGTATGAATAATGGATAAAATGTGGCCTAAGCTGAGTATGGAGGCACACGCCTGGAGTGGGCACTCTGGTAAGCTGAGGCAGAATGATGGAAAACTTGGCAAGACTCTATTTCACAATTTGTAGTTGAGTGGGCACAAAAAGTGTAGCTCTATTTCCAGCACAAAAGGGGCGGGGAGGGGTTTACACTGCCAGCACACTATTCAGGCATACAGAAGGGTGAGATCCTGTCATTTGTAACAGCATGGTTGGTATAGGAAGACATCTTGTTAAGTGAAATACTTCAGGCACGGAAAGACAAAATACACACGATTGTACTCATATATATAAAGTTGCTGTCATAGAAATTGAGATTACCAGGGGCTTGGGGAGGGAAGCATGAGAAAGGCTGGTGGATTGCTTCCAAATTGCACAGCAGTTATACTGTCCTGCTGCTCAGTAGTAGCGGGACTGTAAATATTTATTACGTAATGTATAATTCAAAAAAGCTAAGAGAGGATATTGTTTTCACCAAAAAGTCTGAGGTGCGCTTACCCTGATATAAACAATACTGTATATATTCACTGAAAAAAAATCACATGGCACCCTATAAATATGTTCAATCTTTGTGCAATTAAAAAAATGTAAATAAAAAAAAAAAAAAAAAAAAAAAAAAAAGGAAAGCAAGCCCGCCCTAGATGTCCCTGATCATTCAACTCACTAAATCTTGGGCGAGCTCTAGTCTCCATTTTTGTAAGCTATGCATACGTAACACACACACACACACACACACACACATACACACAAACACACCCCTTTCCTTGCCGCCTTTAGCCAATATCAATACCATATAATCATCGTAACAAGCCCACCCTAAAAAAATGGGAGGGAGCTGGGAAGAACAACTGCAGTACAGACGTCACCCTGTAGCTCCAGCCCTGACAGTGGGGCCTCGGCTCGCTCACGCTCAACCCCCCGCGCGCACCAACGCCCACAGTTAAGGTGCTCGCCCCCAAGTCCAGAAGCCCGTTGGCCGCGCCCTGGGGCCGGGCTCAGATCAGAATCGCCTTGGTAATCAGCGGCCCGGGGCAGGCCCGGCCTCGTCTATCTGATCAATTCATCACTTCTGAGCGCCGGACCGCAGGACCAGCTCCGGGACCTCGGAACCAGGGCGCTGCCGCCGCCCGTGGGGCCTCACTGCACAGTGCCCCGAGGAGGGGGCTTCGCAGGAGGGGAACTTTTCATTTCGGGGAGGCCCGGCGAGGCTGGGGTCACAACCCGATCAAATAAGATCAAAGTGTAGACGGGGGGGGGGAGGGGGCGCTGAGGAATCATTCGCTCACCTTGCACACCCATTCACGCGTTCATTCATGCGTCCATTCATACACTCGGCCCACACGCACCTTCCACAACACACTGCACAAGAACACCTACAACCCCAGGCCACGCTCCCTCTCAAGAAGCAGCGGAAGTCCGCAGCCTCTTTTAAACCCTTCACCCCACCTCGGAGGATTCTGGGAGGAACCACCAAGCATAGGTGGCAAAGCCAGCGTACCCCCTTGTCCGAGGTGCACCTTGCTGCCACCGCGTGGCTCGGAGGTCCCAGGGAGAAAAGGATACATTGCAAACTGAACTGTGGTTTTGACTTTTGTATCAACTGATATAAAACTTGACTATTCATATCTACGTATCCTTATCTTTATTCATCTTAAGTTTTAAAGTGGCCCAGCCGGGAGTAGTGGCACACGCTTTTGAGAGGCTGAATTTCTGATTATGAGACAATGCAATCTCAGGGGCCTCATATGTACCAGGTTAAGTGCTACACCACTGAGCCTACACCACTAGCCCTAGGAATAGAGTATTTATATCCAAAGACTACACAGACTATCCGTGAAATGGGTAAAGGTAGGAAAGCATACCCCTAGCCTCACCCTCTGTCTAGAACTTGAATGCTGTGATATTCATACTGCTGAACATTTACATTCGTGTTTACTAAAATACATCTGACTTTCAAACTCCATAAGTGAAAAATAGCGATTATGTGAGTACAATTAGTGCCTCTCTCATGAGTGTGGAGCTTTATTTCAACTCTTTGTCTTTTTTCAATGAAATAGGTATGGGGGGATTAAAGAAAAAGAATTTCGAGAATGATTTCTGAGTTGGGCGTGGTGAACCATGCTTGTAATCCCAGGTACTGGGAATGGAGGGTAAAGCGGGAGGATCACAAATTTAAAGACAGCCAGGCAATTTAGGGAGACTCTGGCTCAGTTTCAAAAAGGCTGGGCTGAGCTGGGCATGGTGGCGTATTCCTGTAATCCCAGCACTGGGAGGCTGAGGCAAGAGGATCACTGTGAGATCGAGACCAGCCTGGACTACGTAGTGAGTTCCAGGTCAGTCTCAACTACATAGTGAGACCCTGTCTCCAAAAACAAAATAAGCCAGGCGTGGTGATGCACAGCTGTAATCCCAGCACTTGGGAGGCTGAGGCAGGAGAATCGCTGTGAGTTTCAGGTCAGTCTCAACTACATAGTGAGACCCTGTCTCAGAAAAACAAAGCAAAACAAACAAAAACAAACCAAAAAAAGCTACGCATGGGGGTCAGGGATTTAGCTCAGTGGTGCCGCAACTGCCTGGCAAGTGGATCCCCTGTAACAACAACAACAAAAAAATATGCATGGGGAGTCAACCCACAAGTGGATAAAGATGTGGTTTTTTAAAATACAACAGAGAACTACTCTGCCATAAAAAAGGATGAGCTCCAGACTTATAGCTAAATGGATGGAGCTTGAGACCATACTTCTAAGTGAAATAAATCAGACACACGTGTTTAAATACTGCACTGTTTCTCTGGTGTGAGAAACTGAAGGTGGAAATAAGGACTGAAATGTATAATGGATTTTGGGAAATGGGAAAAAAGTGCTTAAAGGAAGGGGAACAAGGAAGAAAGGAGGGAAAAAGGAAGACAGGGACAAGAAAACAAGGGGAAAATAGAAACAAAGCTTTTGTACATAGGGAGAGGAAGGGGCGTGAGGGGAGACTGGAATAAAATAAATATTATTTTTAAAAAGCTATGAATGGGCAGAACCCAAGGGAGTAATAAAGTTCAACAAATTCAGCTTTTTGTTTTTTAGGGTTTTTTTTGGTAGTGGGGATTGAACTTGGGTCCTTGTATTGCCAAGGCAGGTAGTGGAACCACTGAGCTAAATCCCCAGCCCCAAACTCACTATTTGACAAATAAAATGGACAAAAGTTATAGGGAAAAAATTTTATTTTCAAGGATTTGTGCAGACAGTGGTGAATAAAAAACTTCTACTATAAAAAGGAGCAACTTCACTCCACCTGGGTTTATGGTAATGCCAAGTTGAATCTGAGGAAATATTGTGATCCTCACAACTCCACCCCAATAAGCTTCCCCAGAGGAACAGTTTCTTATAATTTCTAGCCCAAAATATATGACACTTCAGCCAAAGGAATGAACTAAACAAGTTCCTGCTTATCCGCTTACATAAAGTCAAGAAATTAAATAGGCCGGGTATTTGCTTTTCGTTGTAAATCACCTTTAACTTGTGCACTTTTTGGTACATTGTGGTATGACAACATCTCAAAATATAACAACTCAATAATTTGGGTCAGGATAACCCACACAGGAGGCTGTAGAAATTGGCTTGAACTAGAAGTGTAGAATGAGACTAGTTGAAAATATGAAACATCTCTAAGGTCCAAATTTAGAGACATTAGCTCTATTAGAAAACAAGTCATAAAAGCTACAAAATAACAAGTGCAAAACATGCTGAACCTGTTTCCTCAGTGACATTCCATTGGGCCAACAGGTTCCAAGCTCACACCCACAAGGTGCAACTCTTCTGTTTCACTAGATTCCCTTTCTTTCATGAGAAAGGTCCTCAGAAATGACAATGGAAAATATATGAATCATTGAAATTTACCCTGCTGACCAATTCCTAAAGAGATAATACTCCCAAATCTGAGATGATTTAGACATGTAGTGTTTATTTGATGACCTACACTTTTAAAACCTTTCAAAGTACTAAACTGCAAATTTCAGAACCTATGCTTCTTAGCAGCTTTTATTCTTTTGGAGTAAGCAGAGAAAAGATAATTTATTGCCACACAAGAGTCAACTACAGCTGCACGGACAATTCAACTGCAAAGTATGTCTATACTTGCTTATTATAATAATTTAATTTTAGACCAACTCTTACATGTGGTTTCACAACTCCATTAGCTGCTATGAAGACAGGAGGAGGGAGTGGAGAAGTCTTCCCCTCAAATGTTGAGTCATCTAAAATGATTTGCTCAGGAGCTGTACAGTCCATGTAAAGCCCTTCCATCTCAACTGCAAAGTTCTGTTTAACTTTATTTTATAAAACAGTGATTTTATTAACAAAGGCTATCAACTGTCCAAATATACCAACAAATACCAGCAACTTCTCTCATCTGAATGTCTCATGTTCCTACAGAGAACAGAATTTCCAGACAATGAAAGAGCACCGAAATATGAAGAAAATTAAGAGATGGTCAAGAAAAACAAGCAATCAACTGAAAATTGCCATAATCCACACTTAAAAAAATAAGTTTGTAACTCTTATAGCATGACAAAACTCCCATCTAACATCACAATAAATTCTTATACTAGACGATTTTACTAGTATATGAATTGATATACTAATTTATTTCTTTCTTCTACCCTACCTGTAATATATTAAACAATTATTTCAATAGTTTTCCCCCTAGTGGTGGCATTTAAAACTGAAGAACAGTATTTAGCACTAATTTAGAAAATATAAAAAAGCTTTAGGAAATAGCAAGAGTTGATTCATTTTTCATTTACCATTTGATCAAATGAAGTCTCCTTTCAGGGATAAGGTAGAAAGAAAGTGTTTTCTTGTCTAAGTCATTGCTTTCTAGTTTCATCATACAAAGATTAATTCCCAAATTTTATGAAAGCTCAGATTCTCTTGGCAAAATCCTCCAGATACCAGCACACAGGAAGCTGCTTCATCTGTTCTCTTTTTGCAATAGGAGCCATGCCTCTTTCTTATGTTCCCAGATGGGTATAAAAAGATAAATTTCTAAAGTCAAATTTCTTGGCTTTTCATAACTTCTATTTCCCACCCACCAACCTCCCTCACCAATTTGCCAAATCCAATCAAAGAGTGAAAAAAGTGAAGTCTTGAAAATTATTTCTCCTTCCAAGAGGTCTTAACATAGTTTATGTCCTTTCCTAGTGCCCCAGTTTGGAAAGATCCTGATGAGGGACTGAAGAACAAAATAGGTGATAGGGTTTCTGTTGTTTGTCTTGCAGACCTGGGGATCAAACCCAAAGCCTTACACATGTTAAGCAAATGCTTTACCACTGAGCTTTGACCACAGCCCAGGTGACAGGCTCTTAAGCAAGAGGTATATGATCTTTTCACCAAGGGATGTAATTTATCTGGGCATTATATGCTCACCGCTGAAGGCTGATTTACACATAGATCAAAGGAAGATGGCTTTCTGGAGTCCACTGGAGCATAAATAATGTTCATGACCATGAGGAAATTCCCCCACAATGGCAGGGACAGATGCTCATCCTGGGGACTTTGATGATTTTAGTTGAACTCTCCTACACTGGGTCCAGGCCTCCAACAGGTTCTTCACCCTTGTCCCCTTGTTTGGGAGCTGATGAGTTGGATACTTTGGAATTCATTTTATAAACAAGACATAAAAGGCCATTACAACGCAGGAAACTGCCACAGCAGCATGCAGCCTGGTTCCGATCACAGCAGCTAGCAGCAAAAAGAAAAAGAGAAGAAATCACACCCTGCCCTTCAAAAGAGCCCTCACATTCAAGGTGATATTCTGAAATTACAGACTAAGAAACCTATCAAGGTTCTCAAAAACCAAAGAATTTCCTTAAATGCTAGTTAAGCCCTAGGTAGATACAGCATTTGTTTGTATTTTACCCTACTTTGAAAAAGATTTAGGTAGGTAGGATTCCAGATGATGGTATTCCAAATAAAAAGTAAAAATACATTTGAGTTAGTTAAATCAAAATTTAAAAGGCGCTGGGCGTGCTGGCACATGCCTATGATCCCAGCACTCAGGAGGCTGAGGCAGGAGGATCACTATGAGTTGGAGACCAGCCTGGGTTACATAGTGAGTTCCAGGTCACTCTCAGCCACATAGTGAGACCCTGTCTCAAAAAAAACACCAAAAAAAGGGCTGGGGGTTTAGCTCTGTGGTTCTACCGCCTGCCTCCCCAAGCACAAGGACCTGAATTCGATCCTGGGTACCAAAAAAAAAACTTAAAAGAAATGTCACTGTAGGAGAATACTAAAATTACCTGGATACTAAAATAAACAATTATCTTTTAAATAACAGTAAATTTAAAATTTATCTCTTCCCTCAATATTTCCGGAAAATGATTATTTTACTGACTTCAATATGTCATATCAGCGACTTTTTTCTAAGAAGGGAACAAAATATAATCCCAGTCCTTTACATCCCTAGTTGTAGCACCACAGTGTCTGGAAATGGCCATCTACCCTCCCTGTTCAGACATAACCTTACCTTTGTAAAACACACCCCAAACTCCCTTCTTCTCTGACAACAGCCAGGTTTTGAGGCGAGGTACTTTCTTGAAGTAGGCACACGTGCAAACAAAGAGCAAACCGAACACCAGAATCCCATCCAAGGAGTACACTGTCACATAAAAAAGAAAAGAAAACCTTTGGTGCTGAGCTACCTTGAGAAAGGTGATCCCACCTGACAGTCCTTGAGGACAGAGTATGATATAAAATCAAGATAGGCCTTTTGCCTCCTTGTACCTCTGGAAGCAACATGGGTCACCAGCAGCTCTACTGCAGCCACTGAGGAAATTCGGCCAGGGCTCTTGCTCTTGCTGAGTGTGCTTAAACTGACAAGGTTTGATCAGGAAACATGGCTTGAACACGTGCTGCCAATGTTTCTGTCAGTGTGTGAAAGATATTGGCTTCATCAAGTTGGTCTAAGTGATCATCCTTCAATGGATTAACCAGGATGTCCATTCAATGAGAGAGACCATGCTAACTCTGTATACATAAAATTAAAAATTTTAAAGCTCTCAAAAAAATCAATATGAGCTGGGCATGGTGGCATACGCCTTTAATCCTAGCACTTGGGAGGCTGAGACAGGAGGATTGCTGTGAGTTTGAGACCAACCTGGGCTACACAGTGAGTTCTATCCAGGTCAGTCTCAACTACACAGTGAGACCCTGTCTCAAAAGAAAAAACAACAACAAAAAAATCAATATGAAACCTCACTGGCAGTGCCAGCACTTGATGAGAGGGAGCCAAGGTCCTGGAACTAACAATATTACCCTACTGTTTCCAAAACTTGCTTACAGGCATCCCTGCTGCAACAGTTTTACTGCCCCCTCCCATCATCCCCTTTCATAAACTAAAATCCCAAGAGTGCATCAGTTTGTGTGGAATCAGCCTCCCAGAAATGACCAGTATTGGCAGTACGTTGAGCAAAGTGTAAGAATCCTTGGAGCCTGAATGTTAAAAATCCCACAAATGATGCTTCGACATAGTAGAAAGCTTTAAACTCTTGGTTCTATTTCTTCTTACATATGTAAATCAAGCTATTTATTGTCCTGTTAAGCACAATGAGTCACCTCACTGCAAAAAACAAAACAAACAAATTGTTTGCACTGGTCCACAAGGGTAGAAGACACTATGTTGTCAGAATGGGTTTGGAGGTTTTGAGACAGGGTCTCACTATATAGTACAGGCTCTTCAACTCACTATGTAATACAGTTGTCCCTGAACTTGTGGTGATCTTCCTGCCTCAGTCTCCCCAGTGCATGGATCGCATGTGTGTAACACCATGCCAGTCCAGAATGAATTCTTAAAGAAATTTATTTTTCTGGTACTGGGCATTGAACCCAGAGCCTCACTCATGCTTAGAATGTGCTTATTTCCTGGTTCAAATTATTTCTCCCTCTGGGTGATGTCCTTTCTTTTATTGTGTGTAGTATCCTGAGACCACTGACTGGCCAGCAAGTCTCAAATGGATATTTTATATAACCGGTGTCTATCAGTTCTAGACCAGATACCTCTCTTCTGTCAGTGAAATTATCTCACCACTAGGTCCAATATATTAATACATACATTAGGTTTTTATAAAGAATGATATCTCATCCCATACTCTTTTTTTTTTCTAATCCCTTATGTTTTACAGACACTGCCATAATTCACAAGTAGGTGAAATGTGAATCTTTATCAACAAGGTATCTTTGGAAGGTAACTTTCTTGTGTCCTGCAAATCATACTGCCTAAAAGACTTTCTTTTCTCTCCTCTAGGGATGACTCTCAAGACCACAATAGCAGTGCATCTTTCCCTCCCCTGGAATTTGGAAATCCTGTCTATAAAGTGTTTGAAGAGGCCCAGAAAATTAGGTCAGATAAACAGGGTGGCAAATGCTACACCATTTAGGAAAGGCAGTATCTAAATCCACCCCTTGCAACAGTAGCCAAGGTCTCCAGATCAAATCAACCCGCTAAAAGTTTAATACCAACAAGAGAAGGCTTTTGAAATGACTTATGTTCAATATAGGAGAACGTTTAGGCAGGTGTACATTCACACAACACACACTCCGAAGTGGGGGGACTGATATCTTCTGTGATTTCTTGGTGTGGTCCTCTCAAAGAGCCTGCTATCCCCAAGTATGAGAACGTAGGGTCTTGAGAGGAAGATTCTCTGCCCTGGGGCTAAACAGGCCTGGTACTTCAGGCACTGGCTCCCTAAGGGTTTGGACAAACTTCTAGTAAGGAAAAGAGAGAAAGCAAAGATTAGAGACAGAAGACTGAGGTGTGGGCAGGAAAGGTGCGGAGGAACTGGAGAGGAACCAGAAAAGCAGGTGATGTGGAGGGGGCGGGGAGAGTGGCCACGTCAGTCCCCGCCCCGCCCGCCACGTTTTTCCCCTCCTTCACTTCCACCCTCAGTGGGGGCACCAGCTCTCACCGTTGGTCATGGCGGCTGAGCCCGGGACTGGGTAAGGCGTCCGGGTTCAGCGGTGATAGCGGCGAAGGCGGGGAACCCAGCTCCCACTTGACACTTCCCGATCCGGGCCGCGGCGACGGGCTGGCGCTGTAGTACGCAAGCGCAAGGGACGAGGGGCGAGCGCCGAACGCAGTCGAGTGCTGCTAGCCGATTGCCGAGCTAGGGGACCTGCGTGGGTTGCGTGCTGACGTAGGGTAGGGAGAGCTCCCTTTGCTAGGCTTCCTGCGGGCGCCTGCACACCGACCTTATTGAGCACGCCCCGCGGAAGTTAGGGCCAGGTGGGTGTGTTCGAAGGCTGAGGGTTTTTGCCTGCAGCAGCTGCTCTGTGTGACTATGCGTGTATGTCAGCAGCAGCCTTCCTGCAGCAGAAAGGTTTCACTCAAGAAACTTCCACTTTTAAGGACCGGGCATTTAGCGGTGCTACCTCCCTCGCAAGCTCAAGGACCTGAGTTCGATTCCCCGGTACC